TATGCTGGGATTCTGAGAGAGGCATCCGAGCAACCCCCCGGGAGCCCGCACGGGCGGAAGGGCAAAGCGGGCAGCAAGAGCTCTGCTGGCCGAACCACCGGGGATGCCCCTCTCCCCCCGGCAGCGTCGAACCGCGGTTATAAACTCCACAAGTTGCTGCCTCACGCAGTTGAGCGTGGGTAGAACCCAGGCTCCTTCCCTCCAGTTTCTATTTCGGTCTCTCGCCCCGGGAGCACGGGACCGTTCCCTGCTATTGTATCCCGGCGACTTTAAGCAACCTAAGCACAATGGAGCGTCCCGCGCTTCCCCTGGGAAACCACCTTCCGGACAAACACATCCCTCTCCGAGGAACATTTTCCTGATTTCCAGCCCCTTGGAACGGGCGGGATGATGACATTTCCGTTCTGTGGGAAACAGAATTTTAAAACATGTTTTTCTTCCAAATCTGGATTTAAAGCCAAAATCGTCTCTTAGAATGAAAAATTTTGGCTTGGAGTCCCCCAAGCACTTCGTTTTGATAATGCTGAACCACTTTGCTTTACTAAAGCAAAAACATTTTTCTTCAGCAACATCGGAACAACTATTCCGCCAGCTTCACGCGTCGTATTTATGCCAGAGTCAAACCGAGACATTTCCACTTTAAACAAAGCAAGAAATTGAAATCAATCATTTCGGCTTGTGTCTTGTCAGACTACACACAGCCCTGTGAAAACTGGGATGAAAATGGGTTTTTGACCATTTTATAACAAAGTTGCTGGTTTCCCTTTCTATAGCTTACTCGTTTCACCCACTTCCCTGGTGTTTTAAATACCAGTTCTCATCGTCTCTCTCTGACGCTCACACCATAAAGCGGGGTCGGCAGTTTTGGAGCCGAGCTGCTCTCGGCATCTCCAGCCAGCGGGCTGGGTTCTTCAGTTCAAACAAGGAATCAAGTCGGCTCCCTCAGCGAGGCTTTGGGAAAGACAACAACAGCTCGGCTCTGCCACGGGGACACGCTCAGGAGCTGCGTACGTCCCACTCCCCGCTCCTCTTCTGCTCGTTACCCAACCCTCATCCCGAAAACCACCAGTGCCCCAGCACCCCAGGTCTCCCCGCCGCACTCCTGGGGATCCTACGTGCACACACCCACGCGTGCAAACCACCCACACTTGAGCGTGCAGCCATGCACGAGCCCAGCTCATGCCCTGCTCTGCATCAGCCGCTGGGCACAGCGGGACTCGGCCTTGGGTCCCATCCTGCTCCCAGAACGTCCATGGGACACTGTGAGGAACAGCGAGGGGGCCTGGCAACCACCCTCCCACCAGTGCTTCAGATCTCGGGCATGTTGTTGTAGTCAAAGCAGATATTAAACGCTGCCTTCAAAACTAAATTAGCTTGCTCAGGATTGACTGGCAAAATAGATAACACTCCGGTGTAATTAAAAGCACATTTCCCATGGCACATGCAGAGTCGGAGGTAATTAAAGCCGGCTTCTCCTCCCAGGCAGGAGCGTTCTTTTTGGTCCTTCTGCAGAGAAGCTCCTTACAGCACCTGCCCACCTATTTTGGTCACCGGTTCTCCTCCTCGCAGCAGCGAGCTGCGCGGGCTCGGGCTAACGACAGCCCCTGGGTTAGATGCACTGGGGGATGTTTTAGTTGTTCAGCAAATGGGAAGACCAAGAGCACCAAGAAACCCGTTCCCTTCGCCTAGTGCAGGCGGAGCGGTGGAAGGTCAAGGTCTGCTCGGTGGCCTGGGACAGGAGAAGGAGCACCGGGGCAGCCCCATGCCTTGGCAGCAGGGCAGGGGCTAAGCAGCGGGTACGGGGGCTGCCGGGCCGGCAGGCAGGGAGAGGCCCTCGGGCAGGATCAACCTGCACCCCTGCAGGTCTCCGGGC